CCACTCACTTGGGATCCCCGAGACCAGCTTGAGGGGCCGGAGCACGCGCACGGCCCGCAGCGTCCGCAGGTCGAACTGGGAGCCCACCGTGGCCAGGATGCTGGGGGAAAGGGGGGGGGGTCAGTGGGTGAGGACCCCCCCCATTGCACCCCAGCCTGGCAGGGGACCCCCACCAGCCGTGTCAATGTGGCCACCACAAGCCACCACATCCCAGCACGGCCACATGTCCCCACAGGCCACCACAGACACGTCCCCATGGGCCACCAGACATATCCCCATGGGCCACCAGACACGTCCCCACGGGCCACCGTGGCCCAGCCCGGCCAGGGACCCCCCCATGGCCACCGAGAGCCATCACGGCATCACGCATCCTCCGTGGGCCACCACGTGCCCTGTGGCTACACCAGCACGGCCACCATGAGCCCCCACGTCCCTGCTACAAGCCCACATGCCACCATGGCCACCACGAGCCCCCACATCCTTGCCACATGCCCACGGCCGTGCCACCATGGCCACTGTGAGCCCCCACATCCTTGCCACATGCCCACGTGCCACCATGGCCACCACGAGCCCCCACATCCTAGCCACATGCCCTCATGCCACCAAGGCCACCACAAGCCCCCACATCCTTGCCACAAGCCCATGTGCCACCATGGCCACTGCAAACCCCCACACCCTTGCTACATGCCCACGGCTGTGCCACCATGGCCACCACAAGCCCCCACATCCTTGCCACACGCCCACGGCTGTGCCACCATGACCCCCCACATCCTTGCCACACACCCATGTGCCACCACGGCCACCACAAGCCCCCACATCCTTGCCACACACCCATGGCCGTGCCACCATGGCCACTGTGAGCCCCCACATCCCTGTCACATGCCCACGGCCGTGCCACCATGGCCACTGTGAGCCCCCACATCCTTGCCACACACCCATGTGCCACCATGGCCACCATGGCCACTGTGAGCCCCCACATCCTTGCCACACACCCACGTGCCACCATGGCCACCACGAGCCCCCACATCCTTGCCACACACCCATGTGCCACCATGGCCACCACGAGCCCCCACATCCTTGCCACACACCCATGTGCCACCACGGCCACCACAAGCCCCCACATCCTTGCCACACACCCATGGCCGTGCCACCATGGCCACTGTGAGCCCCCACATCCTTGCCACACACCCACGTGCCACCATGGCCACCACGAGCCCCCACATCCTTGCCACACACCCATGTGCCACCATGGCCACCACGAGCCCCCACATCCTTGCCACACACCCATGTGCCACCACGGCCACCACGAGCCCCCTTGTCCCCGCCGCATGCCCACGTGCCCGGGGCCGTGCCGGAGCGGGTGCCGGCAGCGCGGGCGGCCGTTCTGGGCTATATTTAGCCCTTTCCGGGCCGATGGCGCTGCCGGGGCTGACGCTGGAGCTGGGCCCGGCCCTGGGGGGGGGTCACAGCCCCGGCCAGGACCAGCCCATGGGGTCCCCGAGGAGCCGGGGGGCAGTGGGGGGGACCCAGGCCCCCAGACGCAGCCCGGGGGGCCCGTTGCCAGCCCCACAGAATCCCCCCCCCGCCTTCCCCCCGACCCTGCAGATGGTCCCCTCCCCCTGGCCTGTCGCCACGGCAACCGGTCGGCCCCATTTATCCCCATCACCACCATTCACCCCATTTAACCCCATTTAACCCCATCACCCCCATTTGGGGACATGGGGACACCCCCTCCCCAAGGGGTGCGGGGGGCATCGGGGTGGCCGCTGGCCCCGTGTCCCCCCCCATTTCCCCATCCCCAGGTGGGGACATGGGGACACCCCCTCCCCAAGGGGTGCGGGGGGCATCGGGGTGGCCGCTGGCCCCGTGTCCCCCCCCATTTCCCCATCCCCAGGTGGGGACATGGGGACACCCCCTCCCCAAGGGGTGCGGGGGGCATCGGGGTGGCCGCTGGCCCCGTGTCCCCCCCCATTTCCCCATCCCCAGGTGGGGACATGGGGACACCCCCTCCCCAAGGGGTGCGGGGGGCATCGGGGTGGCCGCTGGCCCCGTGTCCCCCCCCATTTCCCCATCCCCAGGTGGGGACATGGGGACACCCCCTCCCCAAGGGGTGCGGGGGGCATCGGGGTGGCCGCTGGCCCCGTGTCCCCCCCCATTTCCCCATCCCCAGGTGGGGACATGGGGACACCCCCTCCCCAAGGGGTGCGGGGGGCATCGGGGTGGCCGCTGGCCCCGTGTCCCCCCCCATTTCCCCATCCCCAGGTGGGGACATGGGGACACCCCCTCCCCAAGGGGTGCGGGGGGCATCGGGGTGGCCGCTGGCCCCGTGTCCCCCCCCATTTCCCCATCCCCAGGTGGGGACATGGGGACACCCCCTCCCCAAGGGGTGCGGGGGGCATCGGGGTGGCCGCTGGCCCCGTGTCCCCCCCCATTTCCCCATCCCCAGGTGGGGACATGGGGACACCCCCTCCCCAAGGGGTGCGGGGGGCATCGGGGTGGCCGCTGGCCCCGTGTCCCCCCCCATTTCCCCATCCCCAGGTGGGGACATGGGGACACCCCCTCCCCAAGGGGTGCGGGGGGCATCGGGGTGGCCGCTGGCCCCGTGTCCCCCCCCATTTCCCCATCCCCAGGTGGGGACATGGGGACACCCCCTCCCCAAGGGGTGCGGGGGGCATCGGGGTGGCCGCTGGCCCCGTGTCCCCCCCCATTTCCCCATCCCCAGGTGGGGACATGGGGACACCCCCTCCCCAAGGGGTGCGGGGGGCATCGGGGTGGCCGCTGGCCCCGTGTCCCCCCCCATTTCCCCATCCCCAGGTGGGGACATGGGGACACCCCCTCCCCAAGGGGTGCGGGGGGCATCGGGGTGGCCGCTGGCCCCGTGTCCCCCCCCATTTCCCCATCCCCAGGTGGGGACATGGGGACACCCCCTCCCCAAGGGGTGCGGGGGGCATCGGGGTGGCCGCTGGCCCCGTGTCCCCCCCCATTTCCCCATCCCCAGGTGGGGACATGGGGACACCCCCTCCCCAAGGGGTGCGGGGGGCATCGGGGTGGCCGCTGGCCCCGTGTCCCCCCCCATTTCCCCATCCCCAGGTGGGGACATGGGGACACCCCCTCCCCAAGGGGTGCGGGGGGCATCGGGGTGGCCGCTGGCCCCGTGTCCCCCCCCATTTCCCCATCCCCAGGTGGGGACATGGGGACACCCCCTCCCCAAGGGGTGCGGGGGGCATCGGGGTGGCCGCTGGCCCCGTGTCCCCCCCCATTTCCCCATCCCCAGGTGGGGACATGGGGACACCCCCTCCCCAAGGGGTGCGGGGGGCATCGGGGTGGCCGCTGGCCCCGTGTCCCCCCCCATTTCCCCATCCCCAGGTGGGGACATGGGGACACCCCCTCCCCAAGGGGTGCGGGGGGCATCGGGGTGGCCGCTGGCCCCGTGTCCCCCCCCATTTCCCCATCCCCAGGTGGGGACATGGGGACACCCCCTCCCCGAGGGGTGCGGGGGGCATCGGGGTGGCCGCTGGCCCCATGACACCCCCCCATTTCCCCCTCCCCAGGTGCTGTGGGGCGGAGGCGGCCGCCGCTCCCAGCGTGGCCCAGATTCCCAGCAAGGAGGAAACTGGGACGCCGGCGGGTCCGGATGGGGGGGGGAACTGGGAGCCACGGCCACCGGGTGCCGGCTGCGGGCGCTGCGGGCTGGCAACCGGCCCCGCTCCTGCCGCCCACGCCGGGGTGGCCGGGGACCCGCACCGGAGGGCCAGGGACCCTCGCCAGAGCCCCTGGGGTGGCCACGGACCCTCACCAGAGACCCCCCGGTGCACTGGGGACTCCCCCAGGGTGGCCAAGGGCCCTCATCAGAGCCACTGAGGTGGCCAGGGACCCTCAGCAGAGTCCCCAGGGTGGCCAGGAACACACACCAGAGCCCCCAGGGTGGGTCAGGGACCATCACTGTAGCACAGAGGTGGCCACAGACTCTCGCCAGAGACACCAGGGTGGCCAAAGACCCCCACCAGAGACACAGAGGTGGCCAGGGACCCTCACTGGGGACACCAGGGTGGCCAAAGACCCCCACCAGAGACACAGAGGTGGCCAGGGACCCTCACCAGAGACACCAGGGTGGCCAAAGACCCCCACCAGAGACACAGAGGTGGCCAGGGACCCTCACCAGAACCCCCAGGGTGGCCAGGGACCCTCATCAGAGCCCCCAGGGTGGCCAGGAACACACACCAGAGCCCCCAGGGTGGGTCAGGGACCCTCACTGTAGCCACAGAGGTGGCCACAGACTCCTGCCAAAGACACCAGGGTGGCCAAAGACCCCCACCAGAGCCACAGAGGTGGGTCAGGGACCCTCACCAGAGACACAGAGGTGGGTCAGGGACCCTCACCAGAGACACCAGGGTGGCCAGGAACACACACCAGAGCACCCAGGGTGGGTCAGGGACCCTCACTGTAGCACAGACGTGGCCAGGGACCCTCACCAGAGACACAGAGGTGGCCAAAGACCCCCACCAGAGACACAGAGGTGGCCAGGGACCCTCACCAGAGACACAGAGGTGGCCAAAGACCCTCACCGGAGACACCAGAGTGGCCAGAGACCCTCACTGGGGACACCAGGGTGGCCAGGAACACACCAGAAACCACATGGTGGGTCAGGGGCTCTCACCAGAACCTCCAAGGTGGCCAGGGACCCTCATCAGAGCCCCCAGGGTGGCCAGGGACCCTCACTGCAGCCCCAGAGGTGGCCAGAGACCCTCACCAGAGACCCCTTAGTGTGACCCTAGCCAGAGACCCCAGGGTGGCCAGGGACCCCACCCCCCCCGGACCCCCCCGGCAGCCCCACCCTCCCCAGCCGCTCCGACATGGGGGTCTTGTCCTCGTCGGGCAGGTGCTGCTCCAGCGCCAGGACGATGCAGTTCGCGATGATGGTGGCTAAAATCATGTATTCAAAAGGAGTGGGGGGGCCAGTCAAGGAAAAAAAACCCGGCTGGGCTGAGCCTGAGGGGGGGCTGGCGA